TCCTCCTCCTCCCCCCACCACCACCATCATCATCATGGCAATATGAGTAATAGAGAGTTCTCACCTCTTAGTGTTCATAGGCGTGACTGGCTCCCATGTGAGAGATTCAGGCTTGAACTTGCAGCAACTACTTAGGTACACCTGGCCACTGAAGCCGCCAACAATGAAGATCTCGTTGTCAAGAGCAACCATGCCGTGGTAGGATCGTGGTGCTGTGAAAGATAAAGTAAAAAGATCCAGACGGTAGCTACAGAGATAGAAATATATCATATTATTATTCTATATTTAAAATAGACAAAAAGTGATGGGAGGCTACGACAGCTCATTTCAAGAGAAGACATGATTCTAATTTAATATACGATGTGAGCCTTTCCCGAGCATGGACAAGAGTGTCTTTAAATTAAATATATTGCTTATTAAGCGTTTTTTGTTGTTGTTGATCACGACTTCAACTTTGATCTCTTGATGTGAGAGGGTATAACTCCTCACAGAGCCAGTTAAAGCGGAGCAATCACAGAGGGTACCCTTATGTATGATCGTCAGCTTCACAAATTAGAAATGTTGAAACAGGCCACAAGCCTCGCATATACTCAAGTGGAAATAGCTTTTGAATGCTAAAAATGCAACGAACTCTTTTCTGTCAGAATTGTCCTCATTGGTCATAACAGAAGTCACAAAACATCTTAATCCTTATTTTTTCTATTTTCTTTAAAGTATTTTCCCCAACAGATGCTGTGGTAACCGTCAGACATTGACAGACGAACTATTATTATCGACGCAGTGGAATCAGGCGCTCGTTAATTTTTAGGCATGTGGAGTTATTGGTATTATCCTGAAGATTGTTTATTTGTCTTTATTTTGTCTTTCAGTTGGTAAAAAAATACCCATCTATCATGAATCAAAGTCAGGATATTCACAATTAAAGGACGTTGGGGTAGTCCGGTGTGAGGGGTAAATTAGTGAGAAAACGGCTGTCAAAGTTTTGTTATTTTCAAAGCTTGAGTGTCCGAAAAATGACGACCGTAAGGCTGAGGAAAGAAAAAGCAGCAGTTCCCCCATGCTGTTCGGGCACAGTATGAGCATGCCATTCATAAACCAACCCATTTACGATTCTACCGGGCATAAGAACATGTTAATATCCCCCCTTTGGAAATGGCCTAAAGACACTTCAGACAGTAGCACCGCCCTGGGGGGGGGCATCACTATGGTGACATAATTATTTTTAGACATTCTAATTTTGTATTTATCTATTATTAAAAATATTTCTCTTTGGCGATTATAGGCCTTGATAAATTCAATTGTTTATTTATTTACAAATTTGCAGTCTAGATGATGTAACCGAGGGAAACCCTTGGTTTTGTATTCTCGTACTTGACATTGAGAATAGTTTACTTTGAGTAGGAGTTTTAAAACTCTGGCAAAACAAGTCGGTCATAGGCCTATATTAGCCGAATACTGGGGTGTTACGAAAGAGCTATATACAAGAAAAGAAGGAGAACAGACAAGGACGATGAATGTTTGACAGGCTAGGAGGAGCAAACCACATTAGAGCACTAGCCAACCTCCAACAAGATCAGGACAGTGCGGGCCTAAAAATTATTATTGATCTGTATTGCGAACACTGCAGGATAGATATTCATTCATAATCAAAGGAACATAATTTAGTGTTGAATCTGTGAGTCACTGTTCATAGAGTTACTTCCCTTTACTAAGCTTTGGTCAGCTGTTCGTCAAGCCATAACGTTTTGTTTGTTTTACACTGTAGAAGAGACCCTCATCTTGATAGGATACTCACAGTTTCTGAAGGACGCCTAAAAGTGTGTGTGTGTGTGTGTGTGTGTGTATG